GTATGTATTATTTCCATTCCAACAGAGTGCTGAGAAGTGGAGAAATTAAGAAACTTGACAGCAAATCTAGTAAAGAGGCTGAGCTTTCAAAACTGCAATATACAGGAACAAAAGAACAGCTCTGAAAATGTCCTTCTTTCCCAGTGAGCTCTCAAAGGCCAATCTGAATATGCATCAACATTTAAAAAAGCAACTGTTTAAATCATTCTAATCAAATAAAAGGAACACAGCACACATGTCCCACAGATTGAATGGGCACAGCAATACTAATGTTGTTTTTAAAACTTTTTTTTAAATCACTGTAGAGCATCAAATAGAAAGCTACAAAGATAATTATCTGGATGAATTACCACAACAAATTATTATAAGGCAAACATCCTTCTATCCACTACTGAGATCAAGAAACAGACGCTGGGCCCATCAGGCCGCCCTTGCCCCATCCCATCACGACGCCTACCCTTCTGCCAAAGAATCCCAGGCCTGACTTTGTGGCGGTCACCTTTCTGCTGCTTCTTTATCATCCAAACCTGAACCCCTAATCATTGCACTTGAAGAGTTTCTTTTCCTACTGTGTCTTTTAAGTCTACTTCATCTACTATGTCTTTTTTTATCCATTCTGTCCCTATTTTCCCCCTATAAAAATAATTTTTGAGGAAATCAGGCCATGTAAATCTGGAAACTGGCAAAATTTCTAGCCTGGATTTGGCTGAGTACATCAATGCAAATATTATGAATCAAGCCATAAGGAGAGCGTCAGGTAGATTTAAATATAAACACCTGGCTTGCCAAATTCACAAGAACACTAAAATTCAGTTCCTTGAATAAAAAATTCCTTTTTTAAAAAAAAAATTAAAAAGTATTGATACAGTTGCTTAGCGGTAATCTGCTTTTTTCTTTATCTCCAAAAAAAAAAAACATGTAAAGGAAAAGCACCACATTGGTTGTATAAGGAAGGCCAAAAAACAAGTAAAAACGGAAAGGATTTTTCTTAGGAAGGAGCTGGAAATGATCAATGACCTCTCCCCAGTCTTCTGATTATTTGGCACTTTTCTTTAAGAGACAGTTCTATGCAGCTACTGGCAGAAAACAGATAGATGATAGCAAAGCAAAAATCAATGAAAGGGCAATATAAAACTCACTGCTATTTTTCTTAAGTACAGCAAGACAAGCATTCATTTCTCTCTTCACATTTGCTGTTACCACCACATTCTTGTCAAGCCTCAGTCTTTAGCAGTGTCCTTCAGGCATGGAATAAAAATAACTTTGCCCTGAAAGGCTCTTGCTATAAGATCTTGGGGAGAGTTACTCAGCACAAGTTTCCTACGTGAACAGTGAGGATAATGTGTACCTTACAAGGTTATTGGGGGCTCAAATTAGATAATAGCTATAAAGTGTCACACAGCAAATGCATAACAAATGTCAGTCTCTTCACTTTTCCTCCTCCCAGCCAAGTTAGATCAGTTTTCCTTTAAATCTGTTGACTTCCAAGATTCAAATCATTGAGGATCAAAAGTTCAAATAAAGGACATATAAATTCTGAATTTTTCATCTTATGCAGAACAAATCTTTCTAATAATGTCCTTGGAAATTTAGTTATCAGCAATGTGTACACCCTAACGAACCCACAATGAGGCCCTCCCTTCAGATTCCCTGTCTTCCTCCTCCCTTTCACAGCTCACAACCCCTCTTCTGGAGTGGTCCGTATTTATTCAATCACATAGCAGGAGGAAGGCCTGGACAGTTTTTACTCCAGACCTAATTTTACCAGCAAGGAAACTGAGAGACTGAAGAATTAAGTGACTTTCTCAAGTACATGCAGTTAGGTAGCAGCAGCGAGGTGACAGCTTCTAATAGCTTGCTGCAAACTAGATGCCCTTGGGGTCAGGGCTCAGCAGGTAAAAGGAATGAGAGGAACCAAGTGAGAGTCTACAGTGAGCCTTGGGAAACAGGGCCCTGGGCTGCTAAAATTTATAACGTTCCAGAAGATGATGGAAATGAAATTTTATGGTTAATCTCATTTTCAAATGTTGGCATTTTTTCAACTCCTCTGCAGGTCCATAAGTCCATGGACTGGACTTAAAACCACAGCTGGTCGGTGTGAGGCCTCTCTCTGCCTCCTGCTAACCCTAAATTCACTTTATTCAATTTGTTTTGGTTCTTGCACTTCCCACTGGAACCCCTCCCACCAAAACCAAACCCAAACACCATAACAAAACAAACCGAAAACTCCAACGGCTACTGATTATTTCTAAGACAGAGTCTAAGCTTCCTTGCCAGCTGTTTAAGGCAATCCAAGACCACAGCCTGGGCCCAAACCCTTCTCCAGCTTACAGTCAGACTTAGTCTCCCACTGCAATCACGAATGGCCAATGAATTTTCCTATAGGTGCAAAGAAGTGAAGGACACATGCCAGACCATGCTGACCATTTTTTGGTCCCCAGGCCTTTCCCTTGATGGAGTACCCACCACCTAAGTACTGCTATTGTAAAATGCTGCCCATCCTTAATGCCCAGTTCAAACACCACTTTACAAACACAAGCCTGATGGGCCCAGCTGAAAGCCACCTTCTCCGAATCTCTGTAGGCCTTTACAGCACTGACATGATACCACCACTCTTGTTGTGGAGTTACTTACATCATCTCAAGTACCTAGTAACATTCTTTTATCGAAGAGTCTGGTTCTTGGACTATTGTGACTAGCCTCACAGTGCTTTGTACTCAGCAGTGAGCTGAAAACATATCTTGGAACATTATCCTCTTATACAGAAGACCTGTGGATCCAATATAAAACAAAAATAATCTTGCAGAATTCAGTTTTCCATGTCTATACTCCTATAGAGGCTTTTAAACAAGTAAGTGGGCTCCCAAGTGCCAAAGGGTAACAGCCTCACCTCTTTGGTTCTCCGAACACCCTCTCCCCTGCTTGCTTTGAGATGATCTCCTCCCAAAACAACTGCATTTCTGCCATAGACAGCATGGCTTCTAAGTGGCCATGTTAAAGCTTCACCTAGTCCATGGAAGTGTTTCAATGGAACCGTCTTTTTGGATAGAAATGAGGTTAATGGGTCGGATTGGATAGTAATTCCTCTGAAGGGAACACACAGTGGGCTCTCAGCAAAGAGGCCCCATACAAAAATTTCCAAAGCGCTAAGGCTGGTAGAAACAAACAAGCCTCACTAAACCCCTGGCTAAGCAGCAACCGAGGCCACTGGTGGCTATGAGAGTCACAAACTTTTATCTAACATTTTATTTTTCTGAAGCCATCCTCATATTCGGCCATCACAATTTCAGTTAGTGTCAAAAATAAAATAAAATAAAATAAAAATTGGACTCCATTTTATTTTTACTGGCCTGACAAACTCTAGAGACACTCAATAAAATACTGAATGGAATAAAAAGCCCAATTTTTACTTTTGCTTAAGTCAAAAGTATTGCGATTACCTTTTTAGCAATAATTGAAAGAATAAACACCACAGTCTCATAAGATGGTCTAAATTTGCACAATGACAGAAAAGTCTGGTGTAGTTTTATCTTAAACGAGCAATAGTTTAGATGCCAGCTCACTGATTTTCATTAGCATATTCTGAATCCACCCTTCCAACATGTGCAAATGTGCACAGTCAAAGACAAGGTTAGCTTTGTGAACCTTATTTGCCTCACATTTATGTCACACGATAATCTGTTTTTGGGTATCAGAGAGCCAAGACGATCCAGAGTTCCGGGAAACGTTAAAGAAAACTAATGACTGCAGAGATTTCCACTGTGACAACAATGTTTTCCTCTGTTTGGATGATGCCGTGGTAGGTGACAGTTACTAACTCAATATGTTTACCAACGGGGTATAATTCAGACACTTTTATGGGGAATGCCTCTAGTGTAAGCACAGCATAACAGATGCACTCAAAGATGTTCCCATAAAAAGTGATTCTCTTCTTTGTAATTCCTGTGGGTAGAAGGATACAGGATGAGTGTTTTGGTCTCTCTACTTTTTCTATTTCAGTATCTTTTGTGGTAAAACAGACTTGAAACAATACTCTCCCTTCTGCTGAAAACTTGTAAGGTGGATATGTATATTTATTCTTTGTAAAAATAAATTGTCATTTGAGTTCAGAAACTAACATTCAAAGCACTTTTCAAACATAAAAGGAATCTAAACCTTTGATTCTGGTTAAGATCCCCCACTTAGACCAACACCAACAGATATTTTATGATTGTATTTTTGTGAAATAAAAAGACCCATGGTTTTGCTAAAGAATAAGAACAAAGTAACACATTTATGAAAACAGAAGGAAGCCTGGATCTACCGCATCAAGCTCACTCGCCCCCACTTAAAAGACCATAAATGCTGCTAGGGACGAGGCTAGGCCAGAACTTTTTTCTGATCTGAGACTCAGCCAAAAATAAATGGGTTTCTCCAGTCCCCTTTGATCTCGTTCGATGTATATTTCCAGCGTAAACTGGTGATGTTTAGGTTAACAATGTTTTCCCAAAGGGCTGGCAAGGAAGAGCGAGAGAGTCACGCCGCTGCAACCTGAGAATACCAGAGTCACCAGCACGGAAATGGGAGCGCTGTGCGGAGACCCTGGGGACACACCAAGCGCATCTGCCCGCGGCTGGCGCGGCTGCCCTTCAGGATTTCCTGCTTCGGGGAACAATGTCACTTTTTAAAAGTTTTGTACTGGAATAGGATCCTTGGGGGGAAATGGATGGAAATTCACGTCACCTCCCTGGAATCCTCCTGGGAGACGCGGGCTGGCTCGGCCTGGAGAGGGACACACGCATAGGCCCAGCCATGGATCTGCAGGGGCCCTGCCGCCGCAGAGGCGCGTCCTCGCCCCGCAGCCGAGGCTGGGAGCAAGCTGGGGTCCCCGCCGTGACCGGTGCACGGCGACAGCGCCCGCCAGCTCCTCCCACCCGGGCAGCCCCGAGTTCTGGGCTGCGCTGCGCTGCGCACGGAGGTGCCGGATGGAGCCACGGTCCGCGCCCCGGCGGCGGCCTTACCTGGTTCCTACGGTACCACTCGCCCGACAGCGAGCCATTGCCCGCCCCTGGCGCCCAGTAGGACAGGTTCCGGGAGAGCTCATCCAGGGCAGCCGCGGCCGCGTCCCCGGGGCCCGCGCGCGGCGCCGCCATCAGGTCTGCTCGGGCGCCGGGCAGCACCGCGTCCGCGCCTGCAGGCCGGCGCCGCCACTTCCTGTTGGCCCCGGGCGAAGCCACCTGGTCCCCGCCCCCGCCGTGGCTGCAGGTGGCCGGCCCTGCGCCGGGCCTCGGGAGCCCCCGCGCGTCTGCGCCCGCGGTGCACACCTGCCTGGCCACACCTGGCCACACCTGGCCGCCTCGCGATGCCCCTCCTAGGGTGCCTGTGCTTACAAACACTTGCCCAAGTAAATGGGCGGGAAAGGAACCACTGAGTAACGCAAAGCAGCTACATTTGCCAGTGTCTACCTGGCCAGTCCAGTTCTATCACATTTGAGGGATGCCATATATAGACTTAACGTTGTTTTTATCTGGAAAAGTCATGGGGATACCAAAAATATGTGAGCGATGAGATTAAAGATCTCTGCAATTAAACCGCAGTGCCTACTCTTGAGAGATTCTTAGAAAGGTCTCTTTAGTGGTAGCTACAAGACTCCGTTGAGTATCTGGGGACTGAGCAGGGTTCCTTCATATAAGAACTGAGCAAACCCTGGACACTTGCAAGGTAGTGTATATAAAAATTTGGAAAGGGAGACACATGTTACAAAGGATCCTGAGAATTGTAACCAGAAGTTCTGGTTTTACCTGTTTTCAGGTTCTGTATTAATTCCCAGCTGAACTGGAAGGGCTCCTTTCCTTTGAGAATTCTATGCTCTGTGATTTTATATTGTTGCCCAAAGCATTGAGACTTGGGATTCTTTTGTGTACACTGTGCTGGGATTCTTCTTAAATAATATACTTTGACTTCATAACTTCATGAAAAAGAGACGTTCGAGCAGAGAGATTTGCTGTCTAACAGGGAACAGGGAAGGAAGGCTGTGATTGCACATTGAGAAATGTGCAAATGAGAGAGGAAAGTGAGAAACAGTCATTTTAGTTACCGAAAACACAAGTCAGCTTAGAAGTTGTGTACTTTCTTTCTTAGGCAACTAAAATGTTCAGTGAACATTCAGTACTGATTAATTGGTCCTAATTTTAAGAGGCTGATTTATTTCAAATAAATACCTAAAGAAAAAAGTCTATTTGTTTTTGTTTGTTTTGTTTTTGAGACAGGATCTCACTATGGCCTTGAACTCACTATATAGGCTCAGACTCTCAAGTGCTGGACTTACAGGGGTGCACCCCCATGCCTGGTGAAAGAGTCTGTTTGTGATATTTCCTCTAACATCACATTAATTTGTGTTGGTGATTTAATTAAATGCTTCTTTCTCTTGATATACTTTAGGGTACAAGTAATAGAATATCAACAAAAGAGTCTTAAACAATAAACAACTTTTATTTCAGAGGAAATGTTTCTCTATGTGTCATGTCCATTTTTCTGCTCTGTCACACCTGAGAGATTGGCCTGGTCCCCTTGGAAAGGACAATGTCTACAATTCTCTTAGCCTTTTTCCCTCTAACATCTCATTGGCCAGGACTGGGTCATGTGCCCATGTTCTACCTGCAAGGTATGCTGGGAAAGTGATTCTTGGGCATTTTGAGCCTTGAGAGTTGCTGTGAGCTCTGCCAGCCAGTAAGAACAAGGGTAGAGTGGGGCTGGTGGAGGGAACCAGCAGCACCTGGCATAGTTGCTCTTTAGTGATTTCTATGAGCCAGATTGTAGAAGTCACACACACAAGTTAGTAAACTGATCATGTTACTTTCCTGTTTAAAATGCCTAGAATCCTCCCTATTGATACCATAAAGTTCACACGTTCTAAACCTGACATATGAGACACTATGATCTGGCCCTTGTACTCTGTTACACTCAGCTTGTTCCCACTTGATTTTTTAACTTAAAAAAATCATTTTTCAGTTTCTTTATTCTTGTTGAAAACCTCTAATTTGGAAGAAGATGGTTCTTGGTACAGAAAAGATGTGATGTAGAGCCTACGTCGTGTTGTTCCAACAGATTCCAAGATGCCGCTGCCATTGCTGCCGCTGTCCTAGTGCGTGTGGGTGGCTGAAATGAACAATTCGTGACCAGAGTCCCTTCCCACACAGTTCACAAGGAGGCGGCAACAGTGCTGAGAGGACTATTTTAGTCCCAGCCTTGTGGGCGCGGCTGCTGAGACTGTTCCTGTTTTGTGAAGGGCCCTGCCTTTCTCGGGGATATCCTGTTCCCTCTGTAGGATGCCAAGCACTTGATCAACCTCCTGCCCTCAGCACTATGGAAATTTGTCTTCCTCAGTTAATTTGAAGTGTTCTTTTCTGGTGACACATCATTTGAACCTGGACTTCACCACGAACTTGGAGAAGAGGATTATTTTCTGCCCACCTTGCTAGGCACCATACACTTGCAGCATTAATGAAACTTTTAAAAATATCCATCTTTAGCTGGGTGTGGTGGCACATGTTTGTAATCCCAGCCCTCTAGAGGCTGAGGCAGGAGGATCATTAAGAGTGCAAGGCCACCCTGGAAAACGTAGCCAGACTCTGTCTTTAAAAACAGAAAAATATTTAGCAAAAATCAGTCTCCCCTAGTTGATACAACAAGAATTTCACAAATGAAAAAGAGGCCTTCAAGGAAAGAAAATTGTTGCCTCGTGGGGAAAAGAAAGAAGGTTGTGATTGTTTCCTAAGGGAAATGTGCACAGGCGAGCAGGGGCTAAGGTGAAGAGGAATTCAGGTGTCTCACATCGTACGCAAAAGACAATTCCAGAGTAAAGACTTAATGAGAATGGCAAAACTTTACATCTTTAGAAATTTTAACGCATGAGGCAATCTCTACATACAGAGGCGGTTTGCCGGTTATTAGAGCAAAAATAATAAAGGCAGTCTCCTGTGCTCTATTCTGACTGCACGGCTTGTTTGCTGTGCAGCTTTGATCTGGTTGCTTAATTTCTCTGAGGCATTTGCTCATCATCTGTAAAAGGGAGATCACAAGTACCTGAAACATACAAGGTAATTAGTCCGTGCGAGCCTTCCATGAGGAAAGGATTCCTTAGACAAATACAAAAACACAAAGCACAGTGACAACATCACTAAATGTAAATAAAACAAATTTAGAACTTTTATACACTGACACCACAAGAAGTGAAAAGGTAAGTCATAAACCAAGAATCCTTGTCACACAGATGATTGACGAAGGAGTGACATCCAGAATATATAAATAACTCTTGTGGATTAATAAGCAAAAATCAGAGAACCCGGTGGAAAAACAGATAGAAATATACATAGGCACTTTTCATAAGAAACAATTCATAACATTTTATAAAATGAAGATATGTCTGTGAATTTGGCTCTGAAGTAGATCTCCAGAGATATTCTTATACAGAGACTACAGGAGAGATGTACAAGCATAATTGCACTTTCATAATAGCACACTTTCCCCCAAGCAAATAAGCCAACAAAACCCAGAAACAGGCCAAATGTCCGATAGGAACAATGGTCAAGTGAGCCTGATATGCTCATACAGTGGTACACAGTGATACGGCTGCCTGAACTTCAGATTCGTGGTACTCACACCAACGCGCGTGTACCCACAATCACAATGTCGGGTTTTAAAAGGAAATCCATAGGAGTTTACGTACAGTATGATTCAGATACATATGAAATGAGATAATGCAATGTTTAGGAGTAGATCTGTATGTAGGAAAACCTAAAGAAAATCAAAGGAAAATAAAAACAAACAAACTTTGAATGTTGGATAAATGCAAAAATTGGCCACATTCTATTTTACAAAATTGAGTGAGTTAGAGAAGGTATCATTTTATTATTTTGAAGATACACGTTTATGTCACACGTTCCTTTGTGAATGTATTCATAATGAATATGAAAGATTAACCCAGTAAAAACACAGGATTTGTAGTCAGAAGTTTCAACAGTTCAAGACTGGTAGACTTGGATTAAGTGCTGTGCTCTGCGCTTTGCTGCATGACACTCTGCAAATTCTGAGTTGGTTTCCTAATTTATAAAGTACAAACAAGAATATTTATCTCAGAGGCTTTTGTGCACATTAGGCAGTAGATAATGTGAGTGAAAAACATCTTGTACTCAGCTCAGTTTACCAATGCCTATTTGGGCCAGCAGCCCAGGACCAGAATTTGCATATGCAGATTGAGAGAGCAGGTGCTGCTGGGAAGTCTACCTAGAAGGGTGGCAGCTGCATCCTGAGATGAGTGGGCAAAGCAAAGAGGGAGGTGGGGCTGCTCAAGGTCAGCCAAAGAACAAGCATGACTACAGACGCAGAGGCAAAGAAGACCAGAGTCCGCACGGATCCACATGAAGCAGTTCCATGAGATGAGATTCAGATGTCCTGATGTCCATAGGGGATTGGTTGTAGGAGCCTGCAGATACCAAACTCAAAAGATGCTCAAGTTCCTTATATAAAATGGTGCAATGTTTGTATGTAATGTATGCTTACTGTATTGGTCAGGGTTTTACTAGAGAAAACACATATAACCCGGGATATACAGAAACAACAAGATTGGCTTACGATAGTCACACAGTCCGATGAGGAAACGTGCAGAGGATATCTATGCACTGGAGGCCGAAGGATTCAATCCAAGGTCTGGAGTTCACCCTAGTGTCTTGTGCAAGTCCACACCAGCAGGCTGATGGGTCTGCGACAGAAGGCCGAAGGCTCTGTGATGAAAGGCTGAAGAGTCTATACTGAAAGCCAGGAGGCGAAGTCCAAACCAAAGGCGAAGACTGGAGCTTCTCCCAAGAATGGCATGGATTCGTCCTTCCTCCTCCTTTTATACCTCGAGGTGATAACCCACCCCAGGGTGGGTCTTCTTCTACATCCTTGGGTGTAGAATTGCTAAACCCATTTAGTTAGCTTCTAACTGTCTCAAGTTGACACAATCAATCAACCATTACACTTACCTTTCAGTACACTGTAAATTAGCTCTGCATTACTCATAATGCCTGATACAATAGAAGTTTTATATAAACAGTTTGTTACACTGTATTTTTGAGTGGGGAAGCCTTCAACCTCTGGGCCACTAGGAACCCACAGAGCAGCAGGAGATGAGAGATGGGTGAGTGAACGAATATTCGTCTGTA